ACCGCTTCGAATCTTCTCCATAAGGGTCGGATTTGGAAGGCGAAATAGTTGGTGTGGTTTCTATATGATGTTTGAGGAGAGGAACTGAGGTGGGGGGTGGAGATTTATCTTCATCACCGTTGTTGGCGCTTGAATTGCTCGATTTGTCGCGGCAAACAACAGAATCCGTGCGTCTCTTTCGAAATGGGAGCTACTTCGCTTTTGGATTTGATGTTCCCGAGAAGTGAGTTGTCGCGATGCTTTGTTGCGGCTCCATGATAATAATAACAATGAATCCATCTCCGGTTTTGGTTTCGAGTTTTTGATTTCGGTTTTGAGCTCAGAATTTTACGTGGTTTCTTTGCTTTTGGATTAGCCACGTTTTTACGTTCGCCAGTCCCCAGACCCTTCACTGTCTTCTTTTATGTCTTCCCCCTAGGCGCCTTCTTCTTCTTCTCTGCAGCCATGTCCACAGGTTTCGGACTCTTCAACTTTATCCATTATTATTATTATTATTATTATTATTATTATTATTATTATTATTATACCTCTTCAAAAGTGATTATTTTTTTTATTTTATTTTTAATTGTACTTTTTCTATCTCGACACTATATTCAATGTATTTTTTTGAAATGTAAACGTGACTTTATATTAAAAAATTTTTATTATGGGTAAAATTTGTGTTAGAATTTTTGAAATAAAAAATGAAATGATCTTTTTTTTAAAGTACAGTAATTAATATGAACATCTTAGAAGTATACCAACTAAATTAAAACAAAAATAAAACTATAGTGAGTAAAATAATATTTTTAACCTCCTTTTTCTTCTTCTTTCTTATTCTTATTATTATTTACTAGTTTCATATTATCATTATTTAAAATCTAATTTATGTTCCAAATTTTTTTTCCTCCACCAACATATAGTTATTCTTTAGAAGTTCGAGCTTGGTCTTGATCCTTATGTATGGTATTCATTCTCGTTCGAATACGTGCGTAGCCAGACTTCTTTCTTTTTAATGTTGCTCACTCCCTTTTTCATTCATCTGCTTAGGTAGATCTAAAAAAATCAGACTTAGAGAACAAATTCTAGAGCTAATTCGTACCAGAGATTCTAATCACTTCCATGGTAGTATGTGGATAGAAGGTATTATAACTTTCATCAAAATATCAATAACTTTATGCATTGAACTAAGAAAATAGAATTACAATTTTTCTTTAAGATAGAGAGACTAAAACTGCAAGAGAGAGAGAGAGAGAAAAAAAGAGAAATTTGGCCCACAGGAAGGAGAGGATGGATAGGGACAAGTCCACCAAGCATTTACTGAGAATTTGGTCCATCTTTTTCTTGTACTTTATGTGGTTGAGAACTTAAGATATTTTTTATTTTTAAATAAAGAAAAAATATGAAACACAATCACGTGATAGGGGACCTCTATCCAGACACCACCCTTTTAGTATCTATTTAAAGCATTCCTAGTACTCGGATTCCTTTTTTTCTTTTTTCCTTTTTTTCACAAATATCAAATAATATAATATCAGAGAAGACCCGTGTCAATTACCACTTTGATTAATTACATTTTTGCTTTCTCATTTTATAAACTTTTATTTTAGTACGTGTTGCTTACAAATATTTTACTAACATGCTTTGGAAATTTAATTTCTAAATTTTCTACTAAATACATATTCGAAAACACTTAAAATATATAATGCAATTATATTACAAATATCTTTTTATTTTTTAAATTACTAACCCAACCAATGCACCTTTGATTTCTCAAATTTTTAAGCTTCAACTTTTAGAGGATCTATTTTAAAATTTTAAAAATTATCAATTTAGCTTTTGTTGCCATCAATAACATAGATATCTTGAAACTTCAAATATGTATTTTAACGTAGTGACACGTTATGCATTAGACTCGTATACGTTTGGCTAAAATAGGATTTTTATTTATTTTACCATAGCTGAAACAGGTATTTAGTGGGTATAAGATTACGGGATTATCAATGAGCAAAATAATTATTTTCTTAAAAATTTAGGGAGCAAAGTAGTTACTCTTAAAAAAATTCAAGACTAAATAGATATTTTGAAAGTGTATAGATTAATTTTTTTTCTTTTCTTCTCTAATAATTCAGAAACTAAAATTCATACGTAAGTAAAATATAATAAACTTAAAAGTTAATTGACGAATCCAAACTTTAACCTATTTTTTATTTGGGTTTAAGGTTCTATCTTTTAACAAATTTATTTTTCAATTTTATACTTTTAAAAATATATGATGGTTTATCAAAACTTTTTTAGTTTTAAAATTGTAACCAAATTTAGAATTAAAAATATTGGAAATTGTTCTTTTAATTTTTAAAATTGAGCTAGAACTTAAGTAAAAAGTATTATTATTGTTTTCAAATGGATCTTAAACTTTTAGTTTCAATGTCTGCTTTTTACTTTTAACATTGTATTTCATATCTTGCAAAAAATAGATCAAATTAGAACATTGAAAAAAATAATAATTAAATAAATAACAAATCGGTGTTCAAAACTAAAGCCATATTTTAAACAAAATAAGAAACTTATATCACTTAGAATTTTAATTAGCTCATACAAGATTTGGCAACATAAACTTTAAGGTAAAAGTTAATATGTCATCCTCAATAGCTTATTTTATTTTATTTTTCTCCCTTTTTGTCTCTTTCTTTGAGAAAAAAAGGAAAATAAACCAATATTTTATTTGGTAGATTCTTATGGCTACTTCCCAACTTCATTGACAATGAATAAGTAGCAGAAGAATTTAATGTTCCTTTTCTTTCTATCCTATCGTCATATAATTCCTTTTGTTTGGATAATAAGAAAATTCTCACCTTTTTTCCATCTTCGCTACATTTCAACAAAGAAGATTGTTATAGGTAGGATATTAAATTTTTATCGATACGTCGATATTTCCATAACTTTACAAAATATAAAAATTTCATGTGCAAGAAACTCACTAATATTTCCATCATTGTTTTCATAAAATTGAGACCTTGACATTTAAATCGACATCAATATTTTAAACCTAAGTTATATCATTCTTCATATTATGTTTGTAATACAATAAATCACGTAAATACATACGTAGATGTGAAATTGTACTTTGGTCATCAACTTTAATAGTATAACTAAATAATAACAAAAAAAATTATAGTCTTTTTATTAGAAAAAAAAAATAATAATAATAATAACTGTGTATTTTGGTTGGTTAGTGATAAAAAACAAAAATATGGTTTTTAAGTATTTCCATATATGTTTTTTAAAGTAGTTTTGAAAATTGAAATAAAAAATTGTTCTAACTCATGTTTAGCAACATATTTGTAAACTAGTAGTTAGTTACAAAATATTTAATTTAATCTAAAATAATATTAATTAATTTATTAACATTTTTTTATAAATTTTGTATAATTATTTGTTTTATAATTTATAATATATTATATTTTTCATGTTTTAATTTAAATAAAAATAAAATAAGTTTATAACTTGAAATAATATATTTATAAAAAATATTATTTAAATTTTTAAATTTAATTATAAATTTTAAAGTTTCAAATTCAAAATCTAAAAGGTTAAGAATTCCACGTTAATAAAGGACAAAACTCATAGGTGGACTACTATTCAATTGGTTTTGTGATAGAAAATATTGATTCGAAAACATAAAAATCTTACTGTTTAGATTGCAGAATTCAAAAACAGTTTTAAAAAATAACTCTACCAATTGCATATTCACTTAATCAAATCTAAAAATAAGAGACAGAATTCAAATGAGCAACCATGCCCTTACTAATAACAAAAATTCAACCTACACCTGCACAAGTAAAGCAATACGTACACTAATTTTATGAACTCTCGTTGTTTAATAACTGGATAATCATTAGTGTCGGAAAAATAAAATAAAAAATGTTTATAAGAACGCAAAAATCAAAATGGTAAAACCATCGATGTGAAAACTAGCTAAAAAAAAAAGTATATTTGACCATTCTAAAAACTCATACCAAATCCATCGAAAAAAGCATAAACATCACAGCTGTAGTTCACTAATACAACAAATTTAAAATTTAGAATCTTTCGGAATAAGCAGCCAGGCAAGTTCCTGCTTTCCCTTTGACCACTTGCAATTGCTGCTTCACTAACCACATTCTTGACAGTTTTCAGAATAACTTCACACGTCTCAGTTCCTTTGTCTTGCTCTTGCCGAATTTTTCCAGAACTAAACCCTCTGCTGTGGGCAAAGAATTGGACACATGGCCTCAGCACCTAATTCTTCAGCATCGCCAATGAGAGTTGAGCAGACAGCCATGGCCCATCAAGGAACCATGGGCCAAGACTAATCCTTCGAGGGAATTGAAGAACTTGGTCCTGTTTCGATGGAAGATAGTCCATTACAACCTAACCTCTGCTGGAATGATTGGAGTTATTCATGCCTCTGCTTTGTCCTTTCAAACACTGAATCTTCAAATGATTTAAATGTCCCTAATACTGTTGGGTATATCAAGTTTATTTTGACCTGCCAACTTGAATGTGGCTCAATAGCTATCGGGTATCTACTCCTTATAGGTCGTAGGTCGGCTTAAATCCCTTCTCTTGTGCTTATGATGTAATATTTATCCCAAAAAGTTTACTTTTGACTTCCTTGATTTCTCTTTTCCATTCTCTTTCAGAAATGCAAGGCCAAACCTGCCATCTAGCTTTTTAGATTGCAGCTAATGTTAATGTACAAGACAAATAAGAAGAGAAGATGGAGGTATTGTAAAATTATGGACCCTACTTTGTAAACTTTTTCTCGCTGAAGATTCAGGAGTGAAGTAGACCATAAGCACTGCAGGTAAAATAAAATACTGTCAGTGCACTTTTTCAGACTGAATAAAAAATAATCCACGAGCTCCACCTTAACTTTCAATGCTACTGTCTACTGATTGGTTAGCTCAGCTGATGAGCTAATATACTTACCACAGACGCCTCAATTGGTAGCCCAGGTTACCACTATTTTGTCAAGAATCCTGCTATGTCAGAATACCACAGGTTAGATTGCCTAATATGATAGATCAATACAACAAGCTCATAACTTCAACATGCAAGGATTCCCAATTGGATACACCAGATGTGAAACTGGAATGCTAATTTCGTAAAGATTGGTCAATTGATAAACAACACTTTAGTATTTGGGTCACATGGCATGAAATAATCGATGATCATCGGCTACAGACAGGAGGAATGAGTAGTAAGATTCAGGGGATTGGAAAACAATTAAACTTTTCTTCATGAAATTATATATTATAAACTGTAAAACATCTATGATAGACTTGGATATCTTTGAATTTGATCAATTTAATTTTAATTACATGTCTACTCAACAATTTATAAAGTCAGCATGCAGGTTAGCCTTGAAAAGAACAGTTCGTGGTTATGTAACGGAACTTGAATACTGATGAAAGATAGAAAAACCATAGGGGCATATTAGAAATGCTCCTCAGTCCTCACTTTCATCACAAGAAAACTAAATCATAGCTTTGGTTTTTCAGTACTATGCCAATTATACTCAGGCTTCACAGGCAAATATGTTTAATTTGCAACAAATTCAACAAGAGGG